CATCAATTCCGGTTCCGATTCCATTCATTCAGTTCAAAAACTTCCTCGCACAAAAGAAGGCTTGATTCAAATCTGTGAATGAGTCTACATTTCGTTCCAGGAGCATGATTTCAATAATTGAAAGAGTAGAAATTACCAGGAAGCTAGCAGCCATATTGTAGTGACAGCGATATTTGGTCCGCGGTACATGTCGCAGAAAGCGCTCTTTGATTGGCTCAAGAGGGGGGTGTGACGGGGGTGCGGAACCCGCAGAATGTAAACATCGCGGAAAATACCCTTTTTAAATTTTTCAAGCAATGAAGACATTCTTGGTAGTCTCAACACTTCTAGACTGCTTTTACATCGAGTTACACGAGGGGCACCCAACGACAATTTTCGGAAAAATATCTGTTCGGAAGACGATTTGAGGTCTAGAATTTTCGGAACATTTGTTGTAAAATTTCTTGCTTGCCTGCCTCTTAGGATTTTCGAACGTCTAAAAAATGGTAAAATTGCCCATTTTCAACGGATTTTTACCCTAAAAAGGTCACCTAGAATTTTCGGGAGGCTTTTTTCTGGCTGAAATTTTTAAACAGGTAAGTTTTGATCCCTAAAATTTTCGGATCACTAGACTTTCAGCTAGGAAATCCAAACAGATGGAAAATTTATAGGGGATAAAAATATGCCTATATCCACCGTTTAAATACTAAAACACGTTTAGCAATGCTATGTTTAAGTGGTTTTGAACTATATTCTCGTTGGGTGCCCCTGTTACACAGAAATTTTTCACTTTCTACGAGTTTACCGTTACAATAAACGGTACCTTTTTCGTGATCACCAACAACAATGTATTTTATTTAAGATCCATAAGCTTACAACATTTTATGCCCTGCAAGTAGCCATAGTGCTAATCTAGGCAGAACAAACATTATAAATAAAGGCGTTTTTAAATTACATATTAAGAAAAACGGAAAAGCAAAAAAGAAAAACCCCTCACACAAACTCAAGCATAGGGGTTTTGTTATTAGAAAAAATAGACTAAAATTACAATGGTTCATTTTCTAGGTTGTAGAGAAATAGAGAAACACTCCTTGGCAGATAATCGCGTTTTATAGCGATGTTTTGTGCTGAGTTTCGCAAACTTATTGAGGGGACTTTTGGAGCTGTCTTAGCGTGGACGTCATACAAGAAATAGCTTGGTTGTTGAAAGAAAAAAGACTGTAAAGGAAGACTGTGAGGAATTTTCCGATTTCCCTTTGTAACTCATTTTATGCCAGTTTCTTTGCGTAAATCACGCTCGAGATTCGACTTTTTAGTTTGAAATGCAATAATTCCGCTAATACGAGACATATGCAACTTTCCTCACACCCTTTTTTAGGTCTTTTATCTGTCAATCAGATACAATAAAAAGGAAGTGAATATTTAACGACGCGAAAGGGCTGGAGCTTCAGCAGTAAACTCGATACCTCTGAGTTCGAGAGCAAAAAACTTAAGCGCCTTTTGAAATTGGATGAAATAAAATCTTTCATAAGGTAATTTAGTCTTTTAGCTTTAATTTGATATATAACTTGCCTTTGTAGCCTTTGGGCACCTCGTTTTCCTTTACCGAGACCTTAAATAAGGACTAACAAGTGCATGATATAAATTCAGAAGAAGCCGTGGAATGCCTTCAAACCATGGTAATAATTAAATTTTTCAACTGTCCAAAACAAATTCCACGCAACCTTATTCCAATGATTCTACAAACAAAAGTTTGCGTAGCAGACATAACTGAAAAATGTCGCAGACATTACATTTTGGGAAACACATTTGTTATCATTCACTTTTCTTATCAGTGTTGCCAACTGTGGCTATGTCAATTTTTCCTGTAGTTACTTGTCTAAACATGAAGCTGTGAAATGATCATTTACTTTATTTATGTTCTATTAGAATATTATATAATTTCCTGCTGACCTAGTGTGAAGCAATACCAGTCAGATTTTTTTTCTGCTATAATGAATCCTTAAAATAATTTCCAAATTAATTTCGTCACATCTCAAGTAAATGTTGTGAGGAAAAAAACCCTTTCAGTAGTGAGGAGATTATATTTTTTTCCCAAAACTGATTTAGCTACTAAAATTATCATTTTTTGTCATTCAGTCTGACTTAAAGACAGATAAAATGTAAATTTGCACTAAAATTTCACATAGTTCACGACATATTACATCACAAATTGTACTTAAAAAATAATACTCATTGTTGTTTTGGTGGTTGTCAACTTCGCCCCTTATCCCTGATCCATCCTTGATCGATGCACTTGACAGCTAGAGCACAACTCACAACAACGGCAGCGGCAGTCGCATCTAACCCTGTGGCAACTGAAGAAAAGAGAGAATTTTGCTTATTTGTTGACACAGATTTAAACTATGAAAGTTGCTAAGACCTGAATCTGAAGCTACACACTGAATTCCTACACTTTTCGAGCATATAACAACTAATCCAATTGATTATAAATTTCCTGAAATGTTGCGTACACACGGCTCCAAATGACCAATTAATGTCAAGGGTTGATTTGATAATTATTCACGGAGTTAAAATTTTCTAATGGCCGTCATTTCTTTACCGCAGGTCAAGAGCGAACGGCGGACTGTTGTGTTGGTAGCCCCATGAACCTAGGACCCCTGCGCGCGTAATGTACTGTCATGAACATGGTTGTATACTCACTCACCTATGTAACTTCCAACATCAAGAACAGCAATGA